GCGCGGGCGCGCAACCATTGCGTTCCACGCCACAACACAAACCACTTCTATGTCGTAAATACCAACACCAAACTTAAAATCACCGCATACCTTCCCTCGATTTGTCCTGGTCACGAATTCGCCCAAGGTCATTCATGGTCCGAAAGTTGCGCCCCACGACTTATCCAACAGATGCAACGGCCCGCCTTTGTGCCCCACGATGATGGCCCTGCCGCGCTGGACCTGCCGAGCCTTCAGACTTGGGCGAAACAAACCTGCAACGTTCCGAGCACGGCGAAATCGCGCAACGGCGCGGCAGAACTTCCCTTCCAGCGCGACACGGAACAACACCTCGCCAGCGCACGGCGCATAGTTGACGCGCGGGGAGGGAGCCAACTTGCTCAGCGACGACCACTGCAACGAACGGCAGCGCGAGCTGCCCGCAGACTCGAGGTCTTCCGCGGCGCTTTGGCAAGGAGATCTGCGCTCCACGGCTTGCGCGTGAGTCTCGTGGAAGGGCGAAAGCGCGGTCATCCTGGCACCTCCTTGCCGCGCGCGCCCAGCGGTCGGCGCCAGGCCCTCTTGCCAGCGCGGGCGAGCAAGCTGCCGCCCTGAGCAGAGTTGGTCAGTGATCCGACAAGTCCTTCTGTCCCGGGGCCAGTCAGACGTGGACGCGGAAGCACGTTCATCTTCGCGTTGACGAGGCGCGCGGTTATCTCGGCGCAGAACCCCCCAGGCCGCGGCCTTCTCGGCTCCTGTCTGGTGGGAAGGGATGGGGGAGAAAGGGTTTTGCGATGGCAGTTCCTGCAAGAACAGGCCGCTGCGCCAGCGCGCGCGCGCAAGGATAGCAGGCGCACCCCGACCCCCATGCAACCGCGAAGTTGAGTGGGTCTCACGACGGCGGCGCGCGCGCGCAACACCTGCGGCGCGCCAGCTGCGGCACCACTAGGGGCGGCGAACCCCGCGGATCGCACACCGCGCAGTGCGACGCGCTATTGACTGCAGCACAGCACGCGCGCGCCGTCTGCTGCGCGCTGGCGTGGCCTGCCAGACGCACGCGCCAGGGCGGCCCCGCTGGGCGGCCCTGTTGGCTGCGACGCTCCGACGGCGATGATGATGAAGATGACGACGATGAACACGTCGACGCCCTCCCTGCCGCGGCACGTGGACGCGAGAGGAAGGTTGGCAGGGCCGACGCACCCCTGCCCAAGCCGCGGTCGCAGCGCGGGGAGCGAGGTAGGAGAAGGCGCAGACCGCTGCAGCTGCGATCCGTCTGCAGTCGACCACGATCACGTTGTCACGGTAGACGCGAGCACGACAACGCAGCGGCGGCACTGGCCTTGCCCGGCGAACGGCCTGGCCTGCATCTGGACACGCGGGCCATCGACGCACGCTCTCGCGGCCGTTGGCCGGGCAGCGCCCTCCGCCGCCGCGCCCGTGAGCAGGCGCGCGGAGCCCCACGGGGATCGCACGGACACCTGCGCGCGGTGTTCCTTGCGCAGCAGTCAGCGCGTTTCGCTCGACTGGCGGTCATGGCAGCGGCGCGCTGCAGCGCCCCTCTGGCTCAGCGACCAGAAGCGGCGGCGGCGGGCGGGCGCCGGCCGCGGCCGGGCAGGCACCCCGCCAGCGACCGCCTTTGCGGGAGACATCAGGATGGAGGGAATGGCGGAGGACTGCGAACAGGGGGAGGCTGAGCGGATGCAGAGTTGAGCGGATCAGGGGGCCGCGCGGGGCACTTCCACGCTCTTCTAATGTTTTTGCCCTCGCACATTCCCCTCCCTTCTTCCTGCTCTTCCTGACTGTCGTCCCAATCCTCTGCCTTGCGTCGCCCTCCTCGCCGCCGAGTTCGCCGCGCCCCCCGCCCCCCCGCCCCCTGGCCCATCCAGCGGCAGCCGGTGCTCCGCGGCACGCGGCGCGGCAGCGGCAAAGACCGAATGAAGAGCGAACCCTGAGTCGGGCACCCTTCGCGGCGCGGCGCACAGCCGCCGGCGCAGGGGGGCCAGCGCGCGCGCGTTCTGGCCGAGCAAAGCCGCGCGCAAACGTGCGCGCCAGCCCTGTCGTAGGTCGCCGCGGCCCGGCGCGCGGCCCCCCTCTGCGCGACCGCCCACTGATCCAGGGCGCAGCAGAGCGGCCGCGATCTCGGAACCGTGGATGGCGAAGGTGGAAAGAAGGCCCGGTAGAACACGGCGCGCTGCACGTCGACAGAGAGGAAGCAGAAAATTGCAATGAGCACGCACAACAAATCTGGAGATGAACAAGTAGGTCGAAAGCGAGGTTATTGGAGTCGTCAGCAAACGTACACTGCGTCAGCCCAGACATAGGATCGACGCGACCAACAATTCCACGCGATATTCAATGAGGCCGAGCGCGCGTGCCAGGAGACATCTCGGTAAAAAATCATAAGCGTATCCCTCACTTACATACCCATGCGCATACGTCCACGAGGCGAGCAAATTGTGCTCGGCCCTGCGCGGACCTGGTGGTCCGTCGGAAAGGACACGCAGAGCTTTGTGGGGCTCGATCCCTTGGATCGTCAGGCGCCGACTCAACTACAGGTGCAGACCGCAACCAGACCGCTACTTCGCTGCGCGGGCCGCCAGGGCACGCCCTCGGCAACGGGCGCCAAGCGGTCGAGCCGGTCAGCCAGACCTCAGTGGAGGCGCTCCTCCGCTGGACGGCGGCCCAGCAAGTGACAACGTGGTGGGCGAGTCAAGTGCGAGACCCGCAGCAGGGTGCATGCATCGGCTGGCGCGCGCCTCAACTGATCCCATTCACTCAGGCGGCGCTGTGGCTGAGCAGGTGGACTGAGGTAGAGACGCAGAGAAAGTCCTACAATCTGGTACACGAGCACACGGGCTGCAATCGCACGCTGGCTGAACTGGCCCGCATCAGGTCTTTCTGTGAGCTGCATCCCTCGTGGCATAGCCGATTGCAGCCTGAACGCGGCTGGGAGAAGCCAACGTCGGGCCAGCAGGCACTCTAGCAAGTGGTTGGGGGCGAGCTCGGCCAAGCGCAGGCTTGCTCGGCGCGCCAGCCTGCGCGCGCTAAGGCGCATAACCGGTCACAAAGGCGCCCCAGCGCGCGTAGCACAGCGCATGGTTGGGCACAGGCGTGGCATGCCTCTACCTTTGCGCACGCCCCGGCACACAGCTGAGCACACTGATGCCCAGAGTGCGCTGCAAGGCCCGTAGGCTCGCGCGAGAGTAACACGGAGAGTGCGCTGGCACCGCCGGGCACAAACAATGCCCCGGCGCGCGCAGCGCGACGCCCAGGAGTGCCAAGGCATAGCACACCGTGCTTGCGCAGCTGCAGCACCGGGCATGGACGATGCCCCGGGCGCGCTAAGCAGCACATCGGTGCATGTAGCTGGCGCGCACCGCGAGGCCTGCACCGCCGCGCACTGGCAATGCGCAGGCGTGCTCCCTGCCCCCCAGCAGCTAGTGGTGAGTAATAGGGCAACTGCCCCTGCAGGGACAACCACGCACACTTCTCTGTCCGAAGCTGCCGTGGCAGAGTGTGCACACATTGCCGTGTGGCCGCATGCCTAGACCGAATGGCACAACGTAAAACGTAAACGTAATCTTGCGACCGAAGCATCGTGCGTCTGAACGCTATGGCGCACCGCACGCACGGATAACAGGTCTTGCTGTCAAGTGAATGGCACGGCTCTGCCCCGATTGCCTATCAATCGTACTCAAATTTGCGACCGTGTTGGGTCAGTGAGCAGCGGGCGGCGCGCGGGTAGTAAAGCTGACAAATGGTCGTGGCCAGATCGCGCGCGGTGTAACACGTAGGCTTGGCCCCTACCCTATTCCTTGGGGAACGGTGTGTGACAAGGTTACCAGGCAGTACGCGGCACGACGGCAATATGTGCCCGCGGCATGCCTGGACGTCCCATCCTGGAAAACGGTCGGTGTAGATGGTGGTGAAGTCTCCGTCGTAGCCCGCCTGGAGGAAGAGCCAAAAGAACACGAAATACGGCACCTCGGAATTGCCGAACTGGCTGAGAGGGCGGATGAGACGAAGAACCCATGTGAGTTATGGTCGTGGCGTAGCCGACGTGCTGGCTTCATGTGGACGTGTTGTCTGCTGCGCTCGCCCGCCGCGTGTCTGGCCGGCTGCGATCCACAGTCGGGACAAGAACACGCATCGGCGACATCAGGTGGGTGATGAAAAACATGCCACCCCAGAGCGACAAGATGGGGATCCTCCTCGATTCGACCCCACCACGTTGAGAGCTGCGGAAGCGCCTTGGGGTTCGGGCCTGCGCAAGGACGAACACCATGGTGACGCAGGTGGCAGCCGCAGCACTGCTCACAACCTTGGCCGAAGCCAACCACTAGAAAAGCCGAATTCACATCCAGTGCCTCACTCGAGTGGCGCAACATGATCGCATAGAGAGGACAAACAGTACAGTTGCACACATCACGAGGCACGGTACTGGCCCAAACATGTGGCTCGTTGTCATGCCCGACGCGGCGCCACGGCCAGCACCTGTGGGGTAAATTGGATCGTGGAAACGTCGTGGCGTTCCCGTGGGCGGGCCGCTCCACATCGCGTAGCCTGCACTTGTTTTGGCCGTCACAGCCGGACCCTCACGTCTCGTACGGCCTGGCGTTTGCCTCATCTTATCAATGCACATCTGGGGAGACCCGAAGGTGTGCAGAACAGCCATAAGCACAAGCTGTTCAAGGAATTGCAAAAATTGAAGGATGTGCGACTGTGCGTCCACATCGCAAACTGCGCACCTCCCGTGGATCGCGAACTGGGATCGCCCCCCGTTCCGCCACCAACTAGAATTGCGGGTGGCATGGGCGAAAGGTAGCAGACATGGCGGCACTGGTAATTAACGTGAGAGATAGCAGAGCGGACGTCCTTTTCCGCAGTGCACGCTTGAGCCGCAGTGGCGGCGGCGGGCGCGCGCGCGTGAGACCTATTCGAGCGGAGGCAGGGGGAGGAGAGGAGAGGAGGCGATGAAGAGAGCAGGAGAAGGAAGGAGGACCCACCGCCCCGCGGCGCACCCGCCAGGCAGCCAAATGGGCACGGCGGCGCCGCGCCCGGCCGGCCCCGGGGGCCGGCTCCTGGCGGCCACAGCTTGTCGTCGCCGCCAGCGTCGCCCTCGTCGTCGTCGCACTCGTCCTCCTCATCCTCATCCTCCTCCTCCTCCTCCTCCTCCTCCTCCTCCTCCTCCTCCTCCTCCTCCTCCTCCTCCTCGGTCGGTCGGTCGGCCATAAGAAGACGAGTCTGACTCCCAAACGAAGCTAGAAAAGAGCAGGCGACGGCAGAGGGGAGCGGTCAGACAGCGATCGCAGAATTGAGCCAATCTTTTTGGTGATGCGACGACCGCGGAAATGAGGTTCCTCCTCCTCCTCCTCTTCCTCCTCTCCTCTCCCTCCTCCTCTCCTCCCCTCCTCCTCCTCCTCCTCCTCCTCCTCCTCCTCCTCCTCCTCCCCCCCTCCTCTTCCGCCTAGTCCTCATCTTCCTCCTACGTCGGCCTCGTCCTCATCCTGCTCCTCCTCCTCCTCCTTCCTCTCCTCCTCCTCCTCCTCCTCTCCTCCTCCTCTTCACCGAATCCTCCTCATCCTCATCCTCATCTCTATATCCTCATCCTCATCCTCATCCTCATCATCATCATCATCATCATCATCATCATCATCATCATCATCATCATCATCATCATCATCATCATCATCATCGTCATCATCAGCAGCAGCAGCAGCATCAGCATCAGCATCAACAGCAACATCAGCATCATCAGCATGAGCATGAGCATCATCATCATCATCATCAGCAACATCATCATCAACGTCATCAGCATCTGATTCATCATCAGCAGCAGCATCATCTTCATCGTCATCATCATCACCACCACCATCGTCAGTATCATCATCACCAGCCTCATCATAATCATTATCATCATCAACATCATCAGAATCGTCACAATCAGCATCACCACCACCCTCATCATCATTATCAGCATCAGCAGCAACAGCATCATCATCACCACCATCATCATAATAATTATCATCATCGCCACTATCATCATCAGAATCGTCATCATCAGCAGCATCACCATAATAAGCATCATCATCATCATGATCATCATCAGCATCGTTATCATCATCAAATCATCATCATAATCATCATCATCATCATCATCATCATCATCAGCATCAGCATCAGCATCAGCATCAGCAGCATCATCATCATCATCATCATCATCATCATCATCATCATCATCATCATCATCATCATCCCCCCTTACTCCCTCCTTCCCCCCTCCCTCCCTTCCTTCCATCATCCATTCATTCCCCCTCACTCTCCTCATCATCACCACCATCATCCTCACCATCATCATCAGCAGCAGCATCGTCATCGTAATCTCCATCCCTCCCGTCATTCCGTCCTTCCTTTATCCATCTATTCATTCCTACTCCTCCTCCTCATCATCATCATCAGCGACAGTGGCAGCGGCAGCGTCATCATCATCATCATCATCATCATCATCATCATCAGCATCATCACCATCAGAATCGAAATCATCAGCAGCAGCATCATCATCAGCATCCTCGTCGTCATCATCACCATGATCATCATCATCACCATCATCATCATCACCACCACCACAACCACCGACATCATCATCATCAACATGGTCATCCGCGGAAGCATCCACATCATCAGCAGCGGCATCTTCATCAGCAGCATGATCATCATAACAGCCATCATCAGCATCATCAGCAGCAGCATCAGCATCACCATCAGAATAATCAGTAGCACCATCATCATCATCATCAGCAGCAGCAGCAGCTTCAGCATCATCAGCATCATCATCAGCAGCAACAGCCTCATCAGCATCACCACCACCACCATCATCATCAGGAGCATCATCAACATGGGTAATCAAACTATTAGCATCATCATTACCCTCATCATCATCATCATCATCATCACGAGGCGGCAGCCTCAGCATCATCAGCAGCATTAGCATTAATAACAGCAGCAGCAGCATGATCAGCATGATCATCATCATCATCATCATCATCATCATCATCAGCACCATCGCCTTCGCCAGCATCATCAACATCATCATCAGTTCCATCGTCATCAGTAGCACTATTCTCCAGATCATCATCAAAATTACCCTCAATATCAATAGTATGGTCATCATCGTAATCAGCTGCAACGGCAGCATCATCATCACCATCAGCAACAACCTCACCACCACCACCATCACATCATCATCAGCATCAGCAAAATAAGCTGCATCCGCATCATCAGCATCATCATCATCATCAACGTCATCATCATCGTCATCAATGCAATCCTCGTCATCATTATCAGCGGCAACATCAGCATCATTATCAGCAACAGCATCGTCATCCTTATCCTCATCATCATCGTCAGCATCATCATCATCGTCGTCACCATCGGCATCTGTAATATCATTGTCACCGTCATTGTCACCATCATCATAAACATCAGCGGCAGTATCATCATCGGCAGCATCATCATCAACAGCACAGCATCACCATCATCATCAGCAGCATCGGCATCATCATCATCAGCAGCAGCATCATGACAACCATCATCAATATTGACAGTGCCAGCATCATCGGTGGAAGCACTAGCATCATCAACAGCACAGCATCATCCTCAGTATCCTTAATGGCCCTAGCAACGTCATCAGCATCGTCATCATCAGCGGCATCATCAACATCATCAGCAGCAGGATCAGCATCATCATCATCATCATCAGCATCATCATCGTTAGCGGCATCATCATTATCTGCAGCATCATCATCATCAGCATCATCAGCATCATCAACATCATCATCGTCATCACCAGCAGTAATAATCGGTGGCACCCATCATCATCGTCATCCTCATCATCATCATCAGCATCATCATTATCATCGTCATCGTCATCATCACCATCCTCATCCTCATCATCATCATCATCCTCTTCAACATCATCCTTACCGTTGTCACCACCATCACCATCAGCAGCAGCATCAGCATCAGCATCAGCATCAGCATCAAAATCAGCATCAGCATCGTCGTCATCATTATCTTGATACCAGTACTACCATCAGTGTCAGCAGGAGCATAAGCATCATCGTCATCGTTTGTTTTACCATGGCGCCGGCATTCCCCACTCCACCAGCAGTTCCACACAGATCGCGGACCCACCTGCGCACAACTCAATGTGCATCGACCAGGCTGTATAGACGTCGTCTCGGCCAAAATGGCACTACTGTACATCGACAAAATGTTGCACCACGTGTGCTGGGCATTGGCACCTGTACTGCACTGCTCTTGCCCCCCCCTTTCCCCCCGATCTTAATATTGGGTGCATGGCGAAGAGCCCCTGTTCCGCCCGGGGGCTCCCGACAAAATGTTGCACCACCGAGCTGTTTCGACCAGCCCGGGTCCGAACCCAATATTAAGATCGGGGGGGAGGGGGGGGGGGAACACACGATTGATACGACAGCGATGCGATTTATTTCCAGCGCCAGGTGGTGCACCATTTTGTCGATGTACCGTTTGGGATTGAACACGTTCGACGTTTCCATCTTACGCCCAACGCCTCATCAAGGGAGGTGAGTGGAGTGATGAGGGGAGGAGTGAGACGAGGCGGAAGAGCAGGAGAGGCAGGAGGAGGAAGAGGAGCATAATGAGGACGAGGACGAGGACACGGGAACGAGGACAAGGACGAGGATGAGGATGAGGAGGATGAGGAGGGGGAGGAGCACGAGGAGGAGGAGGAGCAGGAGGAGCAGGAGGAGCTGGAGGAGGAGGAGGAGGAGGAGGAGGTGGAGAGAACTGGAGCAGGGGTACGAGGATCGTGGAATGCGAGGTGGAGGGGAGGAGGAAGGTCGTGCGAGGATCTTGGATGGAGGTGCGATGAAGGATTCGTGATCGAGGACCGAGGTTCGATTGACGATCGAGGATTGAGATTCCTTCGAAGATCGAGGTTTGACGGAGGATCGCGGATGGAGGTTCGATCGACGATCGAAGGTCGAGGTGTTAGGGGGGATCGAGGATCGAGACTGGAGCTTGATAGAGGATTGAGGGTCGAGGCTCGTTCGAGGATCGAGGATCGAGGTTCGACGTTAGATCAAGAATGGAGGTTCGGGGGATGATCGAGGGTTCATAGAGGATGGAGGGCGAGGATGAGGATGAGGCAGAGGAGCAGGAGGAGGAGGAGGAGGAAGAGGAGGAGGAGGAGGAGCAGGAGGAGGAGGAGGAGGAGGAGGGGGAGGAGGAGTGGGAGGGGACGGGCCAGAGGGACGAGGATTATGGGATGCGGGGTGAAAGGTCGTGCGGAGGATAGGCCAGGGGTGGCAACACAGGCGCCCATTCCCACTAGAACTTTCGGGGTGCTGGGTGTTTCTAGGAGGAACCCTTGCGTCCGTCGGCGCCGTTTCGTTCCTGCGGATCGTGCGGAGACGGCCTCCGTCTCCACAGGGGGGCACAGGGCGGCGCCGATTGACTATTGAATTAGAGCCAGCATGGACTCCATGCGTGTGGTGTAAGCTATGCGGAGCAATCTGAGTGGTGCAATCTATGCGGTGCAGTCTATGTGGTGCAAGCTATGCTAAGTAAATTATTGTGGTGGACTCGATGTGGTGCAATCCATCTTACAGCGTCAGCGGTCTATGCAGTGCAATCTATGTTCAGCAAACGATGGGCGGCGACGGGTAGCGACTGGCGGTGGCAGGTCGCCACGAGGCGGCCGAACGGGCCACCGTGCCCACGTCTCTCGGGGAGAAATACGACTCCCGAGGTGCAAGTTGGGGAAGGAACAGAGTAGGACGGACCATGGCCAGGTGGAAGGGAAAGTTCGTTGCCACTGCAGCCCGCGAGGTCGTTGCCCAAATGACCAGCGATGCAGCCAATGAGGCAGTCGACACGGCAACACACGAGGCACCTTAGCAGGCTGCCAACGAGGCAGTCAACAAGGCAGCAAACGAGGCAGCAAACGAGGTAAACACCGAGGCAGCCAACCATGCAGCCAGCGAGGCAGCCAACAAGGCAGCAAACGAGGCAAGCGACGAGGCAGCCACCCAGGCAGCAGACGAGGCAGCAACCGATGCGAACAACGAGGCGGCCGACCCCACAGCAGATTCGGCAGCCAGCGGGGCAATGCAGGGGGTGGCGGTGCCAGGCGCTCACTTTCCGAATGCCCTGAGTTGATGGGAGTCCCGATACATCCGCGCAGCAATCCGTCCTTTAAGACCCGCGTGCGCGGCCCCGCCAGGCCGTGTATCCCCGCGCGCCGCGCCCGCCGCCCAGCCATGCCCGGGGCGCCGATGACCGCGGAGGAGATTCGCTTGGCCCAGGAGTGGTACACCAACGGCGACATGGAGCCCAGCGACATCGCGGCGAATCTGCAGCGCGACAAGTCCTCCATCACCCGCCTCATCAAGGACAACTTCCTGAAGAAGACCACTGGCCGTAAGAATGTCCTCAGCGAGGCGGAGTACCCGGCGCTCAAGGCGGAGTACCCGGGGACGAAGCGCTTCCGCGTCCTCGAGGACAACGACCCGTCCGGCTTCAAGGCCAGCAAGGGCGTCGCCGCCAAGCAGCGCGCCGGCATCCAGGCGTTCGAGATCCCTGCCCACAGTCCGCAGCTGAACGTGCGCGACTACTGGCTGTGGCGGGAGGTGAACTCGCGCATGCGCGCGCGGGAGCGCGCGTTCCCCGCGGGCAAGCGCGAGACCCGCGCCGCTTTCATCCGGCGCCTCAAGCGCACGGCCAAGAGCATTCCCTCGGACATGGTGAGCAAGAGCATCGGGGGCATGAAGAAGCGGTGCCAGCGACTGGTGGCGGCCGAGGGCGGCCAGATCGAGGGTTAGAAATGGGCCCCTCGTGCCCGCGCGCGCGGGCGCTCCAGTTTTCTCCGCGGGCAACTCGCCGCGGCCGTTCTACGAGATCTGGCCCGCCTCCTACGAGCGAGGGGCCGGTCCGTTTTCTGTGCCAGGCGGGCCACCGCCAGAAAACTCAGCCCGCGCGCGCGGGCCGGGGCAGACGGGGGCAGGGGGGGGGAAGCGACGAAGCCAGGCGGAGCCCGAGGCGCGTCGCCCGAGGAAGGATGAGGGGAGGCATTCATTCCGGGAGGGCCGTCGCCAGGCCCGCCCGGGCCCGCCGGGGCCCTCGTCGGCCTTGGCCGCCAGGTCCGCAGGGCCCCCGCGGGCCCCAGTGACTTACCCCCCACCCCAGTGCCTTACCAGTGACTTACCAGTGACTTACCAGTGACTTACCCAGTGACTTACCTCGCCCACCTTATAAATTGACAGGCGGGGCGCTTGCGGCACTCACAAATTTCTCTCTCTAGCATTAGAAGAGGAATTATATTGATCGCATGTGCCCCGTGTGTGAATTTATAGAGTGGGCGAGGTAAGTCACTGGGTAAGTCACTGGTAAGTCACTGGTAAGTCACTGGTAAGGCACTGGGGTGGGAGGTAAGTCACTGGCGAGTCCGCGGCGACCAAGGCAGCTCGCCGCCACGGGCGCGAGTCGCGGGCGCGGGCCGCCAGCAGGTCGCCGGCGGGTCGCCCAGGGCAGGTCCCGGGCGGGTCGTAGGTCGCAGGCGCGCGCCGCCCGCGGGTCCTGGGTTCGAGCTGCGGGCGCCGGTCGCGGGCGCGGGTCGAGGGTCGGCAGGCGCTGGTCGCGGGCACGGGTCGCGGTCGCGCGTGTCGCGAGCGGCTGCGGGCGCTCGCGCGCCGCTGGGGGGCGTCGCCCCCCGGCCCTCCTCCGCCCCCTCCCCCCCGCCCCTGCGGGAATTAAGCGGGTCGCGGGCGCGGGTCGCCAGGCGCTGGTCGTGGGCGTTGGTCGCGGTCGCGCGGGTCGCAAGCGAGGGTCGCTGTCGCCGTTCGCGGGCGGGGATCGCGCGCCGGGGTCGCGGGCGCGGATCGCGGTCGCGGGTCGCGGGCGCTGGTCGTTGGCGAGGGTCGCTGGCGCGGGTCGCGGGCGCGGGGTCGCAGGCGCGGGTCGCCCTCGCCGCCGCCGTCATCGTCGCTGCCGTCTGGCCCGCAGGCTCGCAGGCGCGCAGGGCCGCGGCCGCGCGGGGGAATGGCTGCGGCGGCGGCGCCGACGCGGGCGCAGCTGGACGAGGCGTCGAGGGCTCTGCTCCGGGGGGTCGAGCTCGCGGCCGTCAGCGTCAAGGCCTTCCGGCACAGGTTGGCGGCCCACTTGGGTTTGCAGCCTGACGGCTTGGACGACAGGCGGGAGGAGGTCGGAGAGATCCTCCGCGCCGCAGTGCAAGCGTTGCACCCGGAGGGCGCACAGGCCGCGGCGGCCGCCGGCCCCGTTGGCCCAGATTGGGACGCCCCAGAGAACGCGAAGGTTCGGCAGTGGGTCTACTTGGTGACCTTCGCGCCGACGCTCCCAGGGACCGCCGAGGCCGCGGCCGCCGTCGGCGGACCCGCCCTCAGGACCTTAGACGAAGTCTCGCGAGAGCAGATCCGGGACGCCATCCTGGACGCCGTGACCAACCCTGTGCAGTCGACCAGGGTTAGACAGCCCTGGGAGGAAGACGCTCGACAGGAAGCTTCAACGTTCAATTTTTGCGCCACGACTGGCCGCCCCGAGCCCGCGAGACCTTGGCTTCCGTTCCCAGCGAGATAAACGTAATTTGTCTGGAGCCCCTTAGTCGAGCTTCGCCCCCGGCGTCGTCTCGCAAGGGCGGCAGGCCCCTCAACGAGCCCGTCGGCGTCGAGTCGATGGTGGTGTTCCTCGAGGAGCCGCGCCACTTCCACGTGGCCCTGCGCTTGACTAACAAGGCGTCGTTCTTGCCCTTTAAGCTGGCCCTGCGAGCCCGCTCCGCGTTGGCGTCGCACTGGAGCGCCACGCACACCATGTTCTGGAGCGCTGTTCGGTACGGGGTTTTTACGACGCCCCGAAAGCTCCAGGTCGACGACGAGCCGTTGCCCTGGTCACGCCAGGGCACCTCCCTGAACCTGTACGAAGCCAGCCAGGAACCCTTCAACGCCAAGGCCCTCAAGAGACGGCGGGAGGAGGCCGAGAAGCAGGCCGCCAAGGTGGCCGAGGAGACGGGGTCGAAGAAGGAGCGGGTCAGGTTCACGAATGTCGACTTCAAGGCGCTGGTCATCAGCGAGGGTCTGTGGACCAAGAGCGCCGTGTTGGCGCACGTGCAGGAGAACGGCAGTGCGGAGATCCAGCGCTGGGTGGGAGCTAGGCGCCAGGAGCGGGAACGCGCTCGCCACCCTCGGCCTGCCCAGGCACCACTGTATGCCAGATTCTGCGGCCATGGCCCTGGGGGGCCTCGCGGCGTGTCCCCGGTGTGTTTTTGCTTCTGCCAGATGGCCCGCTTCCCCCCTGAGGGCTTCCGAGGCGTCTCCAGGGGCCCCGAGGATCGGGGCTCCCGGACTCCCGGCGGCGGTGCGCTCCCGCCCCCGAAGGCAGGGGCAGCTGGTCACTCTGCTCGCGGAGGCGAGGAAGTGAAGCGACGCCCCGCGGGCCGCGGCAGAGGAGCGCCAGAGCGACTGGGAGGTCATCTGCCGCGTGGCCGGCGAGCCGTGCAAGTGCGCGGACGGCCGCTGCCTCTGGCAGGAGGCGGCTCGGTCCTTCTTCGTCCGGAACACGATGGTCTCCGAGGGCCAGCTGGCGCATTGTCTGGCGAAGGTGATCACCGAGGGGCCCAGCAAGACGGCGCGGGTGCCCCTGATCGCCGGGGCCAGCAACACTGGCAAAAGCACGATGTTGGACCCCATCGACGTCGTATTCGGGAAGACGCACGTGCTCCACAAGCCGGCCGTTGGCGCGAACATGCCGTTGGCTAACATGACGAAGCCGGGCAAGAGGTTCATGTACCTGGACGAGTTCTCTTGCGCGGAGTATGCCTCCTTGCCGACCGGTCGGCCCGCGCTCCCGGTTTCAACGCAGTTGAAGTTGTTCAGTGGGCAGTGCATGGAAGTGCAGGTGTCGCAGCGGTTCCACGATGGGAACCCTGACGCGTGCTGGGCCCGGGGGGTGGCGGTGACGTCGAAGTTGAAGGGCTTGTGGACGCCGCGCGGCGGTGTGAGCGCCGAGGACATTGCTCACTTGCAGAACGGGTTCGAGCAGTTCACGGCCGACGGCGTGCCCTTGACCAAGGCGCAGCTGCGCACCGTGCCGCCCTGCCGGGAGAACTGGTGCAAGTGGCTCGTCGCCACCGCCACGGCGTTCGCCAATGGGGCGCCGGCCGCCCCGCCGCAGCCCCCGCCGCAGCTCCGCCCCGCGGGCGGCGGCGCCGCGGCCGTCGGGGTGGAGGGGCTCTTGGCCCTGACGCGCCGCGTCTCCATCCCCGATGACGTGGCGAACGCCTTGCACGACGATGCCCTGGCCGTGGGGGCGGCCAGTGTCTCGGAGTTAACGGCGGACGATTGGGCGGCCTTGCCGTCGTGGGCGAGTTTGCTGCCCTTGCAACAGAGACGGGCGCTGTCCGCGAGTGCCGCGCCGCCGCTGCCACAATTGAGGTGTTAGACACCTTTTACTTTGCAGAAGTTAAATAGCGGCCCGCGTCTGCTGGCCGAACCGCGCCGTTGGCTCAAGATTCGCGTTCGTGTTCATGACTGTCACCAAATCACCACCATCGTGATCAACAGCATCGTCATTGCACGCCGTAGCAGCCATCAGTTGCGAATGAAAGGGGCGGGTGCCAGGAAGGAGGGAGAGGGGAGCACAAAGCGGATCTACGAACTCGCGTTTCCTCAGGCAGTCCGCTTTGGGGAGGAGTGCAGGGCAACACGGAGTCGACGGCGACCGCGACCACGACGACGGCGACGACGACGACGACCAGGACGACGACAACGGCGACGACGACCACGACGACGACGACGACGACGGCGACGGCGGCGACGAGGACGACGACGACGACGACGACGACGACGACCACGATCACGACGACGACGACGACGACAACGACGACGACCACGACCACGACGACGACGACGACGACGACGACGACGACGACGACGACGACGACGACGACGACGACGACGACGACGAGACGACGCACTCCTCAGCACTCCTCGGCACTCCGCCGCACTCCTCGGTATCTTTCGGCACTCCTCCGGACTCCTCGGCACTCCTCGGCACTTTTCGGCACTCCTCGGCACCCCTCGGCACTCCAGTCTGCACTTTTCCGCACTCCTCGGCACTCTTCGGCACTCCTCGGCAATCTTCGGCACTCCGCCGCACTCCAGCACCTTTCGACACTCCTCCGCACTCCTCGGCACTTTACGGCACTTTACGGCACTCCTCGGCACTCCTCGGCACTCCTCCGCACTCCTCGGCACTGTTCGGCACTCCTTCGGCATTCCTCGGCACTCCTCGGCACTCTTCGGCACTCCTCGGCACTCCTCTGCAATTTTCGGCACTTCTCGGCACTCTTCGGCACTCCTCGGCAATCTTCGACACTCCGCCGCACTCCGGCACCTTTCGACACTCCTCCGCACTCCTCGGCACTTTCGGCACTCCTCGGCACTCCTCCGCACTCCTCGGCATCCTTCGGCACTCCTCCGGACTCCTCGGCACTCCTCGGCACTCCTAGGCACTCCTCTGCATTTTTCTGCACTCTTCGGGACTCCGCCGCACTCCTCGGCATTTTCCGGCACTCCTCCGCACTCTTCGGTATTCCTCGGCACTTTTCGGCACTGCTCGGCCGACGCGTGCCCTGACCCTCCGACGGCGACGGCGGCGACGATGGCGACGGCGGCGGCGGCTACGGCGACGGGGACGGCGAAGACGACGACAACGACGACGACGACGACGAGGAGGACGACGACGACGACGAGGACGACGACGACGACGACCACGACGACGTGGACAAGGACGAGACGAGGACGATGACGACGACGATGACGACGTATGCTGGAGGGTGTGGTCGGGCTCCCGGCGGCCACCGCCATGCTGATCAGAGTGAGGGGGCCTCCTTCCATCGCTCCTCCTCCCCCCACACTCCACTGCGTCAGAATTCCATCCTCATGACAATGCATTGCATTGCGTTGCATTGCATTTTATGGGTGGGCTTGGCACGACACTGCAACATATAGCAGAACAGTTTATAGTATCGTATCGCATTGAATAGCATTGCATGTCATTGCCTCGCGTGGCAAACTATTGCTGGGCATTGCATGGCATTCTATAGACATCGCATTGCATAGAAAGGGTACCTGACCACCGCGCGCCGCACTGTACATCGACAAAATGTTGCACCACGTGCGCTGGGCATTGGCACCTGTACTGCACTGCTCTTGCCCCCCCCTTTCCCCCCGATCTTAATATTGGGTGCATGGCGAAGAGCCCCTGTTCCGCCCGGGGGCTCCCGACAAAATGTTGCACCACCGAGCTGTTTCGACCAGCCCGGGTCCGAACCCAATATTAAGATCGGGGGGGAGGGGGGGGGGGGACACACGATTGATACGACAGCGATGCGATTTATTTCCAGCGCCAGGTGGTGCACCATTTTGTCGATGTACCGTTTGGGATTGAACACGTTCGACGTTTCCATCTTACGCCCAACGCCTCATCAAGGGAGGTGAGTGGAGTGATGAGGGGAGGAGTGAGACGAGGCGGAAGAGCAGGAGAGGCAGGAGGAGGAAGAGGAGCATAATGAGGACGAGGACGAGGACACGGGAACGAGGACAAGGACGAGGATGAGGATGAGGAGGATGAGGAGGGGGAGGAGCACGAGGAGGAGGAGGAGCAGGAGGAGCAGGAGGAGCTGGAGGAGGAGGAGGAGGAGGAGGAGGAGGTGGAGAGAACTGGAGCAGGGGTACGAGGATCGTGGAATGCGAGGTGGAGGGGAGGAGGAAGGTCGTGCGAGGATCTTGGATGGAGGTGCGATGAAGGATTCGTGATCGAGGACCGAGGTTCGATTGACGATCGAGGATTGAGATTCCTTCGAAGATCGAGGTTTGACGGAGGATCGCGGATGGAGGTTCGATCGACGATCGAAGGTCGAGGTGTTAGGGGGGATCGAGGATCGAGACTGGAGCTTGATAGAGGATTGAGGGTCGAGGCTCGTTCGAGGATCGAGGATCGAGGTTCGACGTTAGATCAAGAATGGAGGTTCGGGGGATGATCGAGGGTTCATAGAGGATGGAGGGCGAGGATGAGGATGAGGCAGAGGAGCAGGAGGAGGAGGAGGAGGAAGAGGAGGAGGAGGAGGAGCAGGAGGAGGAGGAGGAGGAGGAGGGGGAGGAGGAGTGGGAGGGGACGGGCCAGAGGGACGAGGATTATGGGATGCGGGGTGAAAGGTCGTGCGGAGGATAGGCCAGGGGTGGCAACACAGGCGCCCATTCCCACTAGAACTTTCGGGGTGCTGGGTGTTTCTAGGAGGAACCCTTGCGTCCGTCGGCGCCGTTTCGTTCCTGCGGATCGTGCGGAGACGGCCTCCGTCTCCACAGGGGGGCACAGGGCGGCGCCGATTGACTATTGAATTAGAGCCAGCATGGACTCCATGCGTGTGGTGTAAGCTATGCGGAGCAATCTGAGTGGTGCAATCTATGCGGTGCAGTCTATGTGGTGCAAGCTATGCTAAGTAAATTATTGTGGTGGACTCGATGTGGTGCAATCCATCTTACAGCGTCAGCGGTCTATGCAGTGCAATCTATGTTCAGCAAACGATGGGCGGCGACGGGTAGCGACTGGCGGTGGCAGGTCGCCACGAGGCGGCCGAACGGGCCACCGTGCCCACGACTCTCGGGGAGAAATACGACTCCCGAGGTGCAAGTTGGGGAAGGAACAGAGTAGGACGGACCATGGCCAGGTGGGAAGGGGAAGTTCGCTGCCACTGCCGCCCGCGATGTCCCCCTCCCGTTGCCCAAAATGACCAGCGATGTTACAGCAACTGATGGGCAGTCGACACGGCAAACACACGAGGCACTTAGCAGGCTGCCACGAGGCAGGCAACAAGGCAGCAACGAGGCAGCAAACGAGGTAAACACCGAGGGCAGCCAACCATGCAGCCAGCGACGGCAGCCAACAAGGCAGCAAACGAGCAACGCGACGGGCAGCCCCCCCAGGGGCAGCAGGACGAGGCAGCAAACCGATGAGAAACAAACGAACGGGGCCGACCACAGCAAGATTCAGCCGCCAGCGGGGCAAGCAGGGGGGGTGGCGGTGCCAGGCGCTCACTTTCCGAATGCCCTGAGTTGATGGGAGTCCCGATACATCCGCGCAGCAATCCGTCCTTTCAGACCCGCGTGCGCGGCCCCGCCAGGCCGTGTATCCCCGCGCGCCGCGCCCGCCGCCCAGCCATGCCCGGGGCGCCGATGACCGCGGAGGAGATTCGCTTGGCCCAGGAGTGGTACACCAACGGCGACATGGAGCCCAGCGACATCGCGGCGAATCTGCAGCGCGACAAGTCCTCCATCACCCGCCTCATCAAGGACAACTTCCTGAAGAAGACCACTGGCCGTAAGAATGTCCTCAGCGAGGCGGAGTACCCGGCGCTCAAGGCGGAGTACCCGGGGACGAAGCGCTTCCGCGTCCTCGAGGACAACGACCCGTCCGGCTTCAAGGCCAGCAAGGGCGTCGCCGCCAAGCAGCGCGCCGGCATCCAGGCGTTCGAGATCCCTGCCCACAGTCCGCAGCTGAACGTGCGCGACTACTGGCTGTGGCGGGAGGTGAACTCGCGCATGCGCGCGCGGGAGCGCGCGTTCCCCGCGGGCAAGCGCGAGACCCGCGCCGCTTTCATCCGGCGCCTCAAGCGCACGGCCAAGAGCATTCCCTCGGACATGGTGAGCAAGAGCATCGGGGGCATGAAGAAGCGGTGCCAGCGACTGGTGGCGGCCGAGGGCGGCCAGATCGAGGGTTAGAAATGGGCCCCTCGTGCCCGCGCGCGCGGGCGCTCCAGTTTTCTCCGCGGGCAACTCGCCGCGGCCGTTCTACGAGATCTGGCCCGCCTCCAACGAGCGAGGGGCCGGTCCGTTTTCTGTGCCAGGCGGGCCACCGCCAGAAAACTCAGCCCGCGCGCGCGGGCCGGGGCAGACGGGGGCAGGGGGGGGGAAGCGACGAGGCCAGGCGGAGCCCGAGGCGCGTCGCCCGAGGAAGGATGAGGGGAGGCATTCATTCCGGGAGGGCCGTCGCCAGGCCCGCCCGGGCCCGCCGGGGCCCTCGTCGGCCTTGGCCGCCAGGTCCGCAGGGCCCCGCGTGCCCCAGTGACTTACACCACCCCCCCACCCATGCCTTACCAAGGCACTTACCATGACTTAACCAGTGGACTTACCCAGTGAACTTACCTCGCCCACCTTATAAATTGACAGGCGGGGCGCTTGCGGCACTCACAAATTTCTCTCTCTAGCATTAGAAGAGGAATTATATTGATCGCATGTGCCCCGTGTGTGAATTTATAGAGTGGGCGAGGTAAGTCACTGGGTAAGTCACTGGTAAGTCACTGGTAAGGCACTGGGGTGGGAGGTAAGTCACTGGCGAGTCCGCGGCGACCAAGGCAGCTCGCCGCCACGGGCGCGAGTCGCGGGCGCGGGCCGCCAGCAGGTCGCCGGCGGGTCGCCCAGGGCAGGTCCCGGGCGGGTCGTAGGTCGCAGGCGCGCGCCGCCCGCGGGCCCTGGGTTCGAGCTGCGGGCGCCGGTCGCGGGCGCGGGTCGAGGGTCGGCAGGCGCTGGTCGCGGGCACGGGTCGCGGTCGCGCGTGTCGCGAGCGGCTGCGGGCGCTCGCGCGCCGCTGGGGGGCGTCGCCCCCCGGCCCTCCTCCGCCCCCTCCCCCCCGCCCCTGCGGGAATTAAGCGGGTCGCGGGCGCGGGTCGCCAGGCTCTGGTCGTGAGCGCGGGTCGCGGTCGCGCGGGTCGCAAGCGAAGGTCGCTGTCGCCGTTCGCGGGCGGGGATTGCGCGCTGGGGTCGCGGGCGCGGATCGCGGTCGCGGGTCGCGGCCGCGGGGTCGCAGGCGCGGGTTGCCTTCGCCGCCGCCGTCATCGTCGTTGCCGTTTGGCCCACAGGCTCGCAGGGCCGCGGCCGTTCAGGGGAATGTCTGTGGCGGCGGCGCCGACGCGGGCGCAGCTGGACGAGGCGTCGAGGGCCCTGCTCCAGGGGGTCGAGCTCGGGGCCGTCAGTCAAGGCTTTCCGGCACAGGTTGGCGGCCCACTTGGGTTTGCAGCTTGACGGCTTGGACGACAGGCGGGAGGAGGTCGGAGAGATCCTCCGCGCCGCAGCGCAAGCGTTGCATCCGGAGGGCGCGCTGGCCGCGGCGGCCGCCGGCCCCGTTGGCCCAGACTGGGACGCCCCAGAGAACGCGAAGGTTCGGCAGTGGGTCTACTTGGTCACCTTTGCGGCGACGCTCCCAGGGGCCGCCGAGGCCGCGGCCGCTGGCGGCGGACCCGCCCTCAGGACCTTAGACGAGGTCTCGCGATAGCAGATCCGGGACGCCATCCTGGACGCCGTGGCCAACCCTGTGCAGTCGACCAGGATTAGACAGCCCTGGGAGGAAGACGCTCGACAGGAAGCTTCAACGTTCGATATGTGCCCCACGATTGGCCGCCCCGAGCCCGCGAGACCTTGGATTCCGTTCCCAGCGAGATTAACACAATTTGTCTGGAGCCCCTTAGTCGGGCTTCGCCCCTGGCGTCGTCTCGCAAGGGCGGCAGGCCCCTCAACGAGCCCGTCGGCGTCGAGTCGATGGTGGTGTTCCTCGAGGGGCCGCGCCACTTCCACGTGGCCCTGCGCTTGACTAACAAGGCGTCGCTCCTGCCTTTAATCAGGCCCTGCGAGCCCGCTCCGCGTTGTTGTCGCACTGGAGCGCCACGCGCACCGTGTTCTGGAGTGATGTCTCGGCACGGGGTTGCTACAACGCCCCGAAAGCTCCAGGTCGACGACGAGCCGTTGCCCTGGTCGCGCCAGGGCACCTCCATGAACCTGCACGAAGCCAGCCAGGAGCCGTTCAACGCCAAAGCCCTCAAGAGACGGCGGGAGGAGGCCGAGAAGCAGGCCGCAGAGGTGGCCGAGGAGACGGGGTCGAAGAAGGAGCGGGTCAGGTTCACGAACGTCGACTTCAAAGCGCTGGTCATCAGCGAGGGTCTGTGGGCCAAAAGCGCCGCGTTGGCGCACGTGCAGGAGAACGGCAGTGCGGAGATCCAGCGCTGGGTGGGGGCCGGGCGCCAGGAGCGGCAACGCGCTCGCCACCCCCGGCCTGCCCAGGCCCCAGTGCATGCCAGATTATGCGGCCATGGCCCTGGGGGGCCTCGTGGTGTTTTTGCTCATGCCAGATGGCCCGCTTCCCCCCCAAGGGCTTCCGAGGCGTCTCCCGGGGCCCCGAGGATCGGGGCTCCTGGGCTCCCGGCAGCGGTGCGCTCCCGCCCCCGAAGGCAGGGGCAGCTGGTTACTCTGCTCGCGGAGGCGAGGGAGTGGGGCGACGCCCCCCGGGCCGCGGCAGAGGAACGCCAGAGCGACTGGGAGGTCATCTGCCGCGTGGCCCGCGAGTCGTGCAATTTCGCGGACGGCCGTTGCTTCTGGCAGGTGGCGGCGCGGACCTTCTTCGTCCGGAACACGATGGCCCCCGAGGGCCAGCTGGCGCGTTGTCTGGCGAATGCGATCACCGATGGGGCCCAACAACGCGGCGCGGGTGCCCCTGATCGCCGGGGCCAGCAACACTGGCAAAAGCACGATGTTGGACCCCATCGGCGTAGTATTCGGGAAGACGCACGTGCTCCACAAGCCTGCCGTTGGCGCGAGCATGCCGTTGGCTTACATGACAAAGCCGGGCAAGAGGTTCATGCATCTGGGCGAGTTCTCCTGCGTGGAGCATGCCTCCTTGCCGACTGGTCGGCCCGCGCCCCCCGTTTCAACGCAGTTGAAGCTGTTCAGTGGGCAGCGCATGGAAGTGCAGGTGTCGCAGCGGTTCCACGATGGGAACCCTGGCGCGTGCTGGCCCCGGGGGATGGCGGCGACGTCGAAGTTGAAGGGCTTGTGGACGCCGCGCGGCGGTGCGATCGCCGAGGAAACATTGCTCACTTGCAAACGGGTTCGAGCAGTTTTCACGGCGACGCGTGCCCTTGACCAAATGGCGCAGCTGCGCAACCCGTGCCGCCTCTGCCGGAGAACTCGTGCAAGTGCTCTCTCCACCGCCACGGCGTTTCGCCAATGGGGGGCCCCGCCCGCACCGCCGCATCCACCACGCCGCAGCTCCGCCCCCCCCGCGGGCGGCGGCTCGCGGCCGGGAGGAGGGGCTCTTGGCCCTGACGCGCCGCGTCTCCATCCCCGATGACGTGGCGAACGCCTTGCACGACGATGCCCTGGCCGTGGGGGCGGCCAGTGTCTCGGAGTTAACGGCGGACGATTGGGCGGCCTTGCCGTCGTGGGCGAGTTTGCTGCCCTTTTCAACAGAGACGGGTGCTGTCCGCGAGTGCCGCGCCGCCGCTGCCACAATTGAGGTGTTAGACACCTTTTACTTTGCAGAAGTTAAATAGCGGCCCGCGTCTGCTGGCCGAACCGCGCCGTTGGCTCAAGATTCGTGCTCGTGTTCATGACTGTCACCAAATCACCACCATCGTGATCAACAGCATCGTCATTGCACGCCGTAGCAGCCATCAGTTGCGAATGAAAGGGGCGGGTGCCAGGAAGGAGGGAGAGGGAGCACAAAGCGATCTACGAACTCGCGTATTCAGGCAGTCCGCTTTGGTGAGGAGTGCAGGGCAACACGGAGTCGACGGCGACCGTGACCAGACGACGGCGGACGTCGAGGAAGGCGAACACGAAACGACCAGGACGACGACAACGCGACGACGACCACCGAACCGACGACGACGAACGAACGGCGAACGGCGGCGACAGGACGACGACGAACGACGACGACGACGACGACGACCACGATCACGACGACGACGTACACCGACAACGGACGACGAACCACGACCAACGACGAAGAACGACGACGACGACGAACGACGACGACGACGACGACGACGACGACGACGACGACGAGACGACGCACTCCTCAGCACTCCTCGGCACTCCGCCGCACTCCTCGGTATCTTTCGGCACTCCTCCGGACTCCTCGGCACTCCTCGGCACTTTTCGGCGCTCCTCGGCACCCCTCGGCACTCCAGTCTGCACTTTTCCGCACTCCTCGGCACTCTTCGGCACTCCTCGGCAATCTTCGGCACTCCGCCGCACTCCAGCACCTTTCGACACTCCTCCGCACTCCTCGGCACTTTACGGCACTTTACGGCACTCCTCGGCACTCCTCGGCACTCCTCCGCACTCCTCGGCACTGGTCGGCACTCCTGCGGCATTCCACGGCACTCCTCGGCACTCCTCGCCTTCGCACTCCTCGGCACTCCTCTGCAATTTTCGGCACTTCTCGGCACTCTTCGGCACTCCTCGGCAATCTTCGACACTCCGCCGCACTCCGGCACCTTTCGACACTCCACCGCACTCCTCGGCACTTTCGGCACTCCTCGGCACTCCTCCGCACTCCTCGGCATCCTTCGGCACTCCTCCGGACTCCTCGGCTCTCCTCGGCACTCCTAGGCACTCCTCTGCATTTTTCTGCACTCTTCGGGACTCCGCCGCACTCCTCGGCATTTTCCGGCACTCCTCCGCACTCTTCGGTATTCCTCGGCACTTTTCGGCACTGCTCGGCCGACGCGTGCCCTGACCCTCCGACGGCGACGGCGGCGACGATGGCGACGGCGGCGGCGGCTACGGCGACGGGGACGGCGAAGACGACGACAACGACGACGACGACGACGAGGAGGACGACGACGACGACGAGGACGACGACGACGACGACCACGACGACGTGGACAAGGACGAGACGAGGACGATGACGACGACGATGACGACGTATGCTGGAGGGTGTGGTCGGGCTCCCGGCGGCCACCGCCATGCTGATCAGAGCGAGGGGGCCTCCTTGCATCGCTCCTCCTCCCCCCACACTCCACTGCGTCAGAATTCCATCCTCATGACAATGCATTGCATTGCGTTGCATTGCATTTTATTGCAACATTTTGTCGATGTACCGTTTGGGATTGAACACGTTCGACGTTTCCATCTTACGCCCAACGCCTCATCAAGGGAGGTGAGTGGAGTGATGAGGGGAGGAGTGAGACGAGGCGGAAGAGCAGGAGAGGCAGGAGGAGGAAGAGGAGCATAATGAGGACGAGGACGAGGACACGGGAACGAGGACAAGGACGAGGATGAGGATGAGGAGGATGAGGAGGGGGAGGAGCACGAGGAGGAGGAGGAGCAGGAGGAGCAGGAGGAGCTGGAGGAGGAGGAGGAGGAGGAGGAGGAGGTGGAGAGAACTGGAGCAGGGGTACGAGGATCGTGGAATGCGAGGTGGAGGGGAGGGGGAAGGTCGTGCGAGGATCTTGGATGGAGGTGCGATGAAGGATTCGTGATCGAGGACCGAGGTTCGATTGACGATCGAGGATTGAGATTCCTTCGAA